AACACTAAGTAGCTGACATTAGAAAATCATGATCTGCTGATTTAGTGTTTTTAATGACACGTAAGGCAGAGTTGGTGAGACAGTTATATGCCCATGCAGTATGACTGCCCTATACCTTAGCATCAGTTCTGCTTCTTCCAACATACTCCACTTCAAATGTAATTTCATCCAGTCCTTGTACCTATCTATGCATATATTGCATTATGCTACACATACCATAAGCTATACTTATGCAAATACAAGATGACTTAATGAATTTCTCAATATTTAGCATCCAGGACTATGGACATGCAAAGAAATTACTACGCACAAAGCACTCTGCTGGTAACTTGCCATGCTTACACTTCTACCCTGTGACAAAGGTGAGGTAGTTCACTGTTTCATTAAGAACTATGCTTCATAGAAAGTTTCCTCTCCAATATCAGAGTGAGGATCCATGTTAGAATAAATATGGTGCATAAAGTCCATGGATGTCATATGCTTTATGGTAGTGGTCCTTGCTCATGGTTACCCACCTGACCCTGGGCAGCCCACCACGATGGCACGGTGAAGACATGCCCGCTTCTGCGGCCAGTCTCACACAAGGAAATTATATGGCTGAGCAAGACTCCTTCGGCCCCACAGCTACGAGTGGGCACTGACAGCTGGGGTGACCAACACAAAGCCTCAGGGGAGCTGGAACATCTCCTCGGACGTCTGAAGTGAGAACACATCTCTGACTGCCTGCTGGCAAAGGTTTTCCACTATAACAGCTAAGCAAAATCATTGACTGAAGAGTTTCTTTCAAAAAGAACTGGGAAGTAAGCATTAAAGATACTCTAGAGTGATTTACAAATATTTATCATTCTCACAGAAGTGAGGCTGAGAGGGTGAAATGAGGTGCCCAAGCTGTTTCAGCAGGTCAGCTGCAGAACAAAAATCATGATCAGAACCCTTTAAACCACAGCTCTACTTCCCTGATAACCCCACAGTCCTAAGCAGCTATTCATAGTGTTCAACATCTTGGGGGGAGGGGGGGGGAGGAAAGAGAG